ACTAATTTATTAACTTTCTTCAGTAAAGCTTTTGAGGCTGTTGACTGCAATAAAGAATTTGATATTTTTTTACTTAGATTTTAGTAAGGCTTTTGATAGAGTTCCGCACCATAGACTGTTAAAGAAAGTAGCAGCTCATGGCATTGGGGGAAAAGTGCTCTCGTGGATCGAGTCATGGCTCACTGACAGGAAGCAGAGAGTGTCCATAAATGGGGTTAAATCCGAGTGGGGATCTGTAACAAGTGGCGTTCCACAGGGATCAGTCTTGGGCCCGTTGTTGATTTATAATATATATCAATGATCTTGATGAGGAATTACTAGTGATATGAGCAAATTCGCCGATGACACAAAGATAGGTAGGATAATTGATTCAAACGTAGATGTTATGGAACTTCAGGAGGATTTAAACAAACTCTATTCTTGGTCAGAAAAGTGGCAGATGCAGTTCAATGTAGATAAATGCAAGGTTCTGTAGCTTGGGAGTGCCCATAACCCTAGTACTTATAAGTTAAATGATGTAGAACTTAGCCATACAGATTGCGAAAAGGACTTGGGGGTTATGGTGAGCAGCAACCTTAAACCAAGACAGCAATGCCTAAGCGTACGTAATTAAGGCAAATAGATTACTGGGATTTATATCAAGAAGTGTAAGCAACAGAAGTCCAGAGGTCATACTGCAGCTTTATACATCATTAGTAAGGCCTCACCTAGATTATGCAGCTCAGTTCTGGTCTCCGTATTACAAAATGGACATAAATTCGTTAGAGAACATTCAGCGTAGGATGACTAAATTAATACATAGCATTAGAAATCTTCCTTATGAAGAAAGATTGAAGACTCTTAAGTTACATTCACTTGTTAGACGAAGAATGAAGGGAGACCTGATCAAAGTGTATAAGTGGAAGATAGGTATTAATAAAGGGGATATTAATAGGGTCTTGAGGATGTCTCTCCAAGAGAGAACCCGCAGTAATGGATTTAAATTAGATAAGTTTAGATTTAGAAAGGACATAGGAAAGTATTGGTTTGGAAATAGGGTAGTTGATGAGTGGAACAGTCTACCTAGTTGGGTTATTGAGGCTGGGACTTTATGTAGTTTCAAATCTAGGTTGGATAAGTACATGAGTGGGAGGGGTTGGATTTGAGTGGGACTTTCACATCAGAGCTTATTTCTTGGGTGGCATTGAAAATTGGGTTGGGCAAATGTTTTGTTAGTGGGATGAATTGTAAAGGACCTGCCTAGTATGGGCCAGCAGGCCTCCTGCAGTGTTCCTCCTTTCTTATGTTCTTATGTTCTTAGTTTTTTTCCACTGGCAAGAGGATGTAGGTGACCTAAACAGTTATGCTGAGCTCAGAAATACTGGCAGGTGACGTATTTGTAGGCACAGAAAATTGTGTCCTAGCACATTCTTGTCACCTGCATACTAGTACGTCAGACACAGATGAGAGATTAATGATCCTCAGTGTATACAATTTGTATAAAGACTGAGACACTTATGCAACATATGGGAATCTTTATTGAGGAAATGTTTTGCCACACAGTGGCTTCTTCAGTCCAATACAAAGCAGAAAGGTGTAAGGAAAGGAGGAGTTTGAGGTAATCAGTCCCTCAGCCTGGAATCAATGTGAGGGACTGATTACCTCAAACTACTACTCTCCTTACACCTTTCTCCTTTGTACTAGACTGATGAAGCCATTGTGTGACTTTCCTTAATAAAGATTCCTATATGTAGCACAAGTTGTCTCAATTTTCAACTTGTTGGTTTTAAGACCATTTATCACACACAAATCCTTACCCCTTCCAATAAGAGGTATTTAGTACATTATTAGATGTCACATTTAACCTGGAGTTTCACAATGCTTCAGCATAACTGATTTTCAGTAAAGCTGCAGTGACCATTAAGAAGTTAGCATATTATTCTTTTTGGGTATAAAGAAAATTTATTGCACAATTACACTAGACCATTGGGAGTGTAAAGTCAAAGTTTTGAAAGTCAATGCACTAAAACTAATATTCTTATTTGCACAATGACTGTATTGCACTTACAAGAATCTCTGCTTTAAAAAATGTTCACAATACCAGAAAGACAGTTATACTTGAAGAAAACTCATGAACTCCCCCCCCCCCCAAAGTTATTTTCTAAATCTTCGTTTTACATTTTTCATAGAAAAGCATGACTTATTTAGTCAAGCAAATAAAAAATTGACAATTCGTTAATAAGCAACATAAAAAACTCCATATTATACTCACTGAAAAGACATTACAGTAATAATCAAGAAAATCAATGCAACACTTTGTACAATATTTATATATAATTGTGGCAGTATAATAATGGCAGGCAAGACTTATCATTGATAACCGAGACACTTATGCAACATTTGGGTGTCTTTATCCTGGAACACAGATACCAAAACGTGGCACAAATGCCTCATTTATTAACTTATCGGTTGTCTAAACTACTTATTCAAAGACCATCATACTGCATTACAGGAGGGCCCC